AGTGGCGGGGGGGGGGGGGGATTATGGGGCTGAGGGGAACAAAGCTGGAATAGAGGGAAGATGTAAATCGGAGTCACTGCGAAGGAAAGGGGGGCTGTAGGGAGGGGAGGCTGGGGGAAGATGCTGAGAGCAAGAGGAGACTGGCGGGGGAAGGGAGAACCCAGGGGCAGGGTTAAGGTACAGGAGCAGCTTCCCCACCCCATGGGGTGAGGGGTCTGCCCTGCCCAGCAGCCAGTGGGGATTTTCCCCCCTAGAAATGGCCAAACCAGCAGTGGGGGGTGGGCAGGGTGACCATCCAGCCCGAATTGGGCAGGAGAGACCTGAAGTACAGAGTTTAAGTCCCTGTCCAGGGCTGAATGACTCCCGCACACCATTTGTCCCGGATTTCTGCCCGAGGCTCAGGGACACCAGCCTGTTCCCCCTTAGCCCCCCTTGGCCACACGGCCCCAGCCCCTGCTCCTTCTCTTTCCCCCTCCCCTCCAAAGTCCCACCGGTTGGCCAGGCCAGAAGTTAGATCTGGGCCATAATAAGAGTCACCCAGGGAGCCAAGGCTGCAGTGATAAGAGCTGCCTGGGGAGCCCAAGACCTCCACCTCCCCTGGGCAGGGAGCTGGGCTTCCTGAGAGCAGCCCCTGGCCTGTGTACCCACTCCCCAGGGCAGCTGGAGAGTCTGGGGCTCCCCAGGCAGCTCTTATCACATTCTGGCCTGGCCAGGGGGCAAGGCCTCAGGAAGAGGAGGAGGTTCAGGGGGTGGGACCTTGGGGGACAGGGGGTGGGGCCATGGAGGGGGCGGGGCTTCTGCATATGTCCGGCTTTTGCCTTTTGAAAGGTAGTCACCCTAGGGGTAGGGGGCAGGCAGGAGGCTTCCCCGAAAGGGCCAAGAGTTTACCAGGCAAATGTCCACCCAGAATCCCTCCCCCCCACACACACACCCTGCTTCCAATTTCATATTTGCGTTTAAAGACAATCTCCTCATTTGGAGGGTCTGACACCTGGGTTGTCAGGACTGAACAGGTGCTGGTCTGATTTCAGAGCAGGATTCAGTGTCCAACCAGAGACACTGCGAGCCGCAAGGAGTGGAACTGGGGTTTTGTTCGGGTTCAGTTGCAGTCGGTGTGTTCATTTCCAGTTCAAGACACCCCAAAATAATTCTGTTACCAGGCAGTGCCCGAGAAGGGGGAGGGGGTTGTTTGGGAGCAAGCCCTATGGCTTGCTTCAGTGGGGAACTGAATTTGGGGCATGGGGCCTGCCTCAGGTGGGACAACTGGAGGGAGGTGCTGCCCCAAGGGGTGAGGACAGGTGAGAGGAGGCCTGCCGAAGGGGAATAAAAATTGAGCAGCCTTTTTCCTTGGGCTTGAAGAGTTAATGTTAACTTCTGGGACCAGGGAGCCCCCCATTTCTTCTCTCCCACCTCCCTCCCTGCTCCTGTGAGCTGCCCCCTTCCCTTGTCCTTCCATTCCGGTAGCGGTCACATGTCTGGGTGTTGTTTTGTTGTCTTGTTTTATAACGAGTGATATCAGAGTAGGTTTTATTTTATTTTGTCAACTATGGAGCTGAAAAATTGCTGAAACTTTATTTTAATTAGTGGACATTTTTTTTTTCCCGAGTTCGACTCTGATTCTGGTTGACTGAGTAAGAGGAAAAATGCTGGTTTAAGTCTGGTTCCAGTTCCATTAATAAATACCGGTTCAAAGTGGTTCTCTGGTTCTATTCTGGTGTGAGTGCTGGTGGGCAAATGAAATCCCCAGCTGCTGAATTGTGCCTGGGGTCTGCGGGGGCAGCTCAGCGAGGCCCAGTCATGGGGGGCGCCTCTGGTTACTGCTAAGGCAGAGGAGGTTGGTGTCTGTCTCTCTCTCTCTGCTCATGATATTAGCGCCTGGGAGTTAGTTGAGCTTCCTGGGTCAGAATCTGCTGTCTCCTCCCTTGTGATCCTGGAGCCCAGACTGAGCAGCTGCTGCTCCCCCAGGAGGGGTCTGTGCTGGGGAGAGACCTCATTAAAGTCCTCTCTGTGCCCAGCCAAGATGGGGACTTCCCCTGGTGGCTGCAACTAGCCCCCTAGGGCAACCCTGGGCTTTTCCCACACCAACTCCTGAGCCGGAGCCTGCAGGGGAGGAGAGAGAACTGAGGGAAAGTGCTGGGGCAGGGCAGGAAAGTGACTCCGCACAAAGGGCCCCTTTCAGGGACTTGCAGGTGAGTTTGTAGAGGAGGGGGAGTGGCTCCCCATGAGTCTGCGGGTCCCCAAGCTGCTGTTCTCAGTGACACAGCCAGGCTCACCCTGGAGAGCAAACGCCCATGGGAACGGGACAGTCCCCAGTTCTCCCAGGCAGAGGAGGCAGGGATGGAGACAGGAAGGGGAATGGTGAGACCGAAAGGAGCAGCAGGAGCAAGAAGTGGGGAGGGAGGTTCCCAGCTCCCAGCCCTGTGCGGATCCCTTCCCTGCATCCCTCTGGGCAGACTGACTCTCCTGGGAACAAGGTGAAGAGCTGACACAGGGACACACTGCCCTCGGGACCAATGTCAGGGGGAATCCCCCAAAGTGGCTCCTTTGAGTCTGCTCTTTTCTAGCATTTGTCTTAGATACTCTGTCCCTGGGGGGGTTTAAAACTGTCTCAGGGGGCTCAGTGCTGGTGGGAGGAGCCATGTCAGTGTTGGAATAAAGTGACTGAGGGTTTTCCCAGCATGGCAGAGTCCAGAGCGTCTGTCTGCAGAGAGAGAGCCTGGGGGGAATCGGGGTGTGACATGGACTCAAGCCCCTTCTGAAATCTCCCCCATCATCCTTCTCACCCTGACAGGCTGAGGAATCGCATCCACGTTTCACTGGTGACAGGGCAGGGAAATGGCTGTGATGGAGCCAGCTCAGGTAGGGGATTTTCAGGCAGTTGCAGGAGAGGATGTTGTAGAGGGTGAGGGGCAGGAGAGACACGGGGTGTGATATACTCTCTGGGACACATTGAACCTAGGCCTGATTTTCTAAAATAGGCCCATTGGCAGGAGGGACATTCCCCCATTTCTGAAACAGGAAACACCCCCGTGGGCAGACCTGGGAAAACTGACCAGACTCCCAGTGCTGGAGCCTAGATCCATTACCCAGATGCTGCTGTAAAATACAAAGGGAAACTGGGGGGATTCCTGTCCTGGCTCAGAGCTCTGCTTCCCATATCAGCCTGTGGCTGGCAGGCGTGTGGGAAATGAGAAGACCCTGCCCTGCTCTGTCTGCTGTGGGGGCACAAAGATCTCTCACCTTCTCCCCACCCCCTGAAGCCTCCTGGCTGCTCTGATTAGGGTGAGGGTAGGATTCTGCTTTTCTGGACCTCTTCCCCCGTGACTAGTGGGATTGTGGCTGGGGCAGCAGGTGCTGAGTGGGAGACTCTTGTTGCTTCAGATGCTGGTGACCTTTGAGGAGGTGGCTGTGTATTTCACTCAGGGGCAGGGGGCTCTGCTGGACCCTGCTCAGAGAGCCCTCTACAGGGACGTCATGCAGGAGAACTATGAGACGGTGACTTCGCTGGGTAAGCAATTCCCATCCCCTCGGTTATTAGAAGTTGTGGGGTCTGCTTGTCTGACTCTGGTCAGATTCTTCCCTGGTCAGTTAGATTTGAGGAGGAGGGTCGCAGAGTCCACAGGTCCATTGTGAGAGACTTTCATCTCCATAGTCCATTCGAGGGAACAGGAGAGTCAGAAGCCTAATGGACAGGCTAATTCATCCTCATCTCTCCAGCTTTCAAGGGTCCAGAAGCAGAGTATTGCCCTGCCTGTATTGTTTCTCCTTCACACACTGTTAATCTGCCATTTTGGGACGAGCTCCATTGCTGGGGCGGGCTCTCAGTGCTGCAGGCTCCGGGGTGCTGGGACAATCTGTACAGTGCGGGTGCTGAGAGCCATGGAACCAAACTGTAAACCCTGGATAGAATGGAAACCACTTCAAGCCAGGGGGTCTGGCAGCTCCCCCAGCATCCCTAGCTCCAGCACCGATGTGCTGGTTTGGAAATAGGCAGGAGTTTAACACCAGAGCTGTGTGAGCCAGCAAGTCCCCCAGAGCTCATCTACCCTGAGAACTCCTCGTGCGGTCATGACAACACCCTCCTCCCACCTCCCCTCCCCCCCCCCCCCAGCGATGTCTGCTACTCCCAAAGGGTCTGAGTTACCACAATCCCACGTAGGGCCAGGCTAAACTCAGGGAATATTCCCTGTAACAAATACTCTACCAATGTACCATGCACCCTGACCTTGCTTGATTTCACTCCCTGAGCAGGATTTCCCATTCCAAAACCTGACCTGATCGCCCGGCTGGAACAAGGGGAAGAACCGTGGGTCCCGGGTCTCCAGGCCGCTAAAGAAAGGAAGAGTCTGAGAGGCACCCGCACAGGTGAGGAATCAGGGAAACTGAGACAGAAACATCTGGCGAGTGAAGGAAAAAGCTGGGACTCCCAAAATGTGCCATGAGTGAGAGCCCTCAGTTCTGCCCCCTCTCACCCAGGTGAGGGCTGCAGTCAGCAGGTGTCGTATGATCAAGGCAAATATCAGTCACGGCTTCCCACCCACCCTGTTAGCTGTCGGGAATTTCCTCCCTCACTTTCCTTCCCTGGGAGTGTTTGGGTGGGATGAGGAGGCAGAATCCAGTGTCTCCATCTCCCCAACAGTCACTGTGTTGTGTTTTCCCTCTTTGCTATTCCCCTTTCGGACCCTTCTCCCCGGCAGAGGCAGTGACTCCTGTCTGGGTTCTCTCTCTCCCAGCAGGTGATAGGACAGTGAGTGAGAACAAGGAGCAGAATCAGCAGCAGGAAGGTCCTGGGAAAGTGAAACCGCAGGGGACGTTTTTGAGAAGAGCTGAAGGGAATTTTTCCCAGTGCTTGGAACAGGGAAATACCTGGGGAGATCAACACAGATCAAAGATGCAGCTGGGAAACTATCCAGGGAAGAAACTGGTTGAATCCATTCAAGGTGGTGGAGGATGCAAAGATCCCAAGGAAACCACAGTCCAGCAGACAAACCACAATGAAGAGAAACCCTACAAATGCCTTGACTGTGGGAAAAGATTCCGTTTTAGTGCATTCCTTATTAGACATCGGAGAACCCACACAGGAGAGAAGCCCCATAAATGCCTGGACTGTGGGAAAAGTTTTGGTGAGAAGTCAAACTTTATTACGCACCAGAGACTACACACAGGAGAGAGACCCTATAAATGCCTTGAGTGTGGAAAAAGATTTAGTCAGAGATCACAGCTTATGGCACATCACAGAATCCACACAGGAGAGAAGCCCTATAAATGCTTAGACTGTGGGAAAAGCTTTAGTAGGAAACCATATTTAATTATACACCAGAGACTGCACACAGGAGAGAGACCCTATAAATGCCTCAAGTGTGGGAAAGGTTTTATCGAAAGTTCATCCCTTACTAAACATGGAAGAATCCACACAGGAGAGAGACTCTTTCAATGCCATGAGTGTGGGAAAGATTTCATTCGTTGCTCACACCTTATTAAGCATCAGAGAATCCACACAGGTGACAAACCCTATAGATGCCTCGATTGTGGGAAAAGTTTCACTGACAAAACAAAACTTACTAGTCATGAGAGAATCCACACAGAAGAGAGACCACATAAATGCTTGGACTGTGGTAAAAGCTTCATTGAGAAGTCACTACTTATTATACACCAGAGAGTGCACACAGGAGAGACACCCTTTAAATGCCTTGAGTGTGGGAAAAGTTTTAGTCAGCGGTCACTCCGTATGGCACATCAGAGACTGCACACGAGAGAGACACCCTATAGATGCCTTGAGTGTGGAAAAAGTTTTAGCCAAAGTTCATACCTTACTAAACATGGGAGAATCCACACAGGAGAAAAACCCTATAAATGCTTTGAGTGTGGAAAAAGTTTTAGCCAAAGTTCATACCTTACTAAACATGGGAGAATCCACACAGGAGAAAAACCCTATAAATGCCTTGAGTGTGGGAAAAGTTTCCGTTTGCAATCAGGCCTTAGTACACATCAGAAGACCCACACAGGAGAGAAACCCCATAAATGCCTGGACTGTGGGAAAACTTTCAGTCAGCGCTCACACCTTACTCAACATGGGAGAATCCACACGGGAGAGAAACCCCATAAATGCCTGGACTGTGGGAAAACTTTCGTTCAGCGCTCACACCTTATTAAACATGGGAGAATCCACATGGGAGAGAGACCTTTTAAATGCCTTGAGTGTGGGAAAAGTTTCAGTAAGAGCTCAGCCCTTACCAAACATCAGAGAATCCACAATGATGTAAGAGACCCAAGAAATAGCTTGACTGTAGGAAAAGATTCAAGTTGACTTCCCGCATCAGTGATCCACACAACAGAGAGACCTTGAATGTCAGAGAAGGTTCCTTTTGGTGCTCCCAGAGTATCAGGCATCCGCAAATCCACACAGGGAAGAAACCTCTGAGATGTTCTCAGTGTGGAAAATGCTCCAAGTGGAGCTAACACCATGTTGGACATCAGAGACTCCTCCACACAGCAGGGAAATTCTCTCAGGGCCCTGACAGGGGCTGGCCATGGTGACAAACCCATTTCCTCGTTCCCACACACTTCAGGGGCGTTTGGCTCCCAAGGACCCAGCTGCCCATCACTGCGGTGCGGATCCAGCATCAGCCGAGCTTCAGCTGGTCAGTGACCCTCTGGTTCTGCCTGGTCGAAGCAAACCCCAAGCAGAGGAGGAGAAGCCCCCATAGCTCCCCCTCCTGCTGCAGCCCTGGCTGCTGAGCTGATGGGCCAGAGGTGGGGGAAGGGAGAGAGAAACTCCTCCAGTCGCTCCCTCTGCGTGGCTGAAGTTCCCCCCTCTCTCTTCCCTTCCCAGCCAGGATCCCCCTGGCATGGAGATGAGGAGAAGGACACTTGGGCCAGGCCCCGTCTTCAGTCTAGACCCCTGTCCCCACCCCCCATCTTCCACCAGGCCCTGGGCTGGGCTCCCCTACTGACCTGGGGCTGGTCCCTGCAGGGGGAGTGTCCCTGGGGGTTGGTAACTCCTCCCCTCCCCAAATTCCCCATAGTGCTGGGCTCTGGGGAATCAAATATTGAGGGACCAGGCAGATGGGTTCTGGGGACGACACTGGGGATTGAATGGTTGGGACTGGGGGAGCTGGGAAGCAGGGGGAGCTGGGTGCTGGGGCTATTGAGTGTTTGGGGATGATGGGATAAGAGGCGAGGGAGAGCACAGGGGTAGAGAGGTGCTGCCTCTCATCACTCTCCCCCTCTGCCCCTTCTCCCTGCCCCCTCTGCATTCAGACAGCACCATTAGCAGAGACAGATTCCTACTGGGCATTTTCTTGGAAGCCTGGATTTCCTACCTCTGCTACAGCAGCATCAGCCGCTGAGAGGGAAGCAGCGTTGCCTAGTGGAAAGAGCACTGGCCTGGGACTCAGGAGACCTAAGCTCTATTCCCCACTCTGCCAGCAGCTTGCGGGGTGACCTTAGAGCAGGGGTCCCCAACACAGTGCCTGTGGATGCCATTGCACCCGCCAGGGCATTTTTGTGCTCCTGCAGGACACCCCGCCGCCGAAATGCCACCGAGAAGCGTTGCCGTTTCTCGGCAGCATTTCGGCAGCGACGCTTCTTAACCGGCGGTGGCATTTTGGCGGAGGGGTGTCCGGCGCCCGCCACAGTCTTCTGTAAAAGGTTGGGGACCTGTGCCTTATGGTGAGGGAATCAATTGGGAGTGATAATATCAGCCTCCGAGTGTCTGTCTAGGGCAGGAAAAGTTGGGATTAGCTAGTGCCGTCTCCTTTGTTCCTCCACCCTTTTTGCTAGTCTAGACTGACCCTGAGCAGTTTATTCCAACCCCCATTAGCAAAGTGATGGTTAGAGTCACTAAGTGCCCTCTTTGCAGTGAGATTGTCTCATTCCCAGACATCCTCACACTGCTCCAGGTTATGCTGAAAAGCATTTAATTATTTTGTTCTTATACACCAGAATTCAATAGATTCTAAAACAGCTGGAGCAGGGATAGTAAAATAATGTGGTGTTTTATCTTCTGTGTAGTTTGAGAGGGACTGGATGAGTCTGGGGGATTCCCTCCTGCCCCCATCAACCTCACCCGTCTTCTCTCACAGAGCAGCCTCTGCCCAAGCTGTGGAGAGTTTATCCTTTTCCCTTTCTACCCCTCCACCTTCATCTGTGTCATTTACCGCAGTGTCCTTTGCCCACCATGCTTAGGAATCACGCTTTGATTTTTTGATCCTCAATCAGGCCCCTGGGTGCTGGCGAAGAAAATGCCACATTCCTGAAGGGGGAATTCAAATGAACCCCAAAGCACAGTTTCAATCCGAGCCTCCATCTATTGGTAAAGTGGCATCTGGAGTTTTTCCAGCCAAATCCAGATCATCTGTAGACAGGACGTTTTTGGTTAGGTTTGTCTTTTTTTCCTTTTTCTTTTATTATGATGATGCTAAAACTTATTTAATAACACAGCCAAATAATGCGGCTGTGGTGAATAAAGCAGGTTTAGCCTGTTCAGAAGAAAATGGGTAAATTTGTTCTCCAGATTCTGAGTTTTAAGGTTCTCTGGGATTTCACTTTATGAATGGGAAAATGGTTTGTAGCCCACCCTGCATTGTGGGGTTTTCTCTCTTTCCCAAAGGCTATTCTGTCACATATTTTAATATTAGATTAGTTGAGAGAATAGAGCTCAGATGTGACTTCAAAAGACAAATGATCATTTGCCAAAATAGCCCATTCTGATTTTCTTTTCACATTTCCCGAGCCTGTGTCATGAGATTTTCTTGTTCTTTGAACAATGACAATTATTAGTATCTATCAATAAAAACACTGAGGGCGAGTACTGGATACGCACTCCGAGAGTCAGAGACTGAAATGGGGAAGGAAGTGATTGCCTGATCCCTGCAGAGATGTGAGATACAATTAGGATGGGGAGAGGGTGGGTGGGTGGCCAGGTCCTTGAAAGGGCACTCTTTGCTCTTGTGAGCCAGAGAGCTGAGGCTGAGAACTGTGAACTCACTGCACATGTCCCAGAGAGAGAGGAAATGTCCTACAAGTGCTGGGTGAAGTCATCCTTGAACTCTAAAGGGCTACTAATGATGCCCCAAGAGGACTGATGGGGAGAGGGGTCGCTGTTTCCCCATTGCTGAGAGGAGGAGGGAAGGCAAATGCCTCTCTCATGGATTGTGAGTGTTTTTATACCAGCTTTAACTTGTTCCTCTTCCCCTGGGGCCGATGTGTGGCTGGAGCACCAGTGTGCTGGGCTGGGGCTGAAATGCACGGTGCCAAGCTGGGCGTTGGATGGTGGTAGTGGTGGTGGGGATTTAGCTTTTATTTCTTGCTTTGAAAAGAATAAAGTAGAATTTAGTTTCTCAAACTCCCAGTGTCTCTTGTCTTTAATAATGTGGCGGGAGCCATGGGTCTTTAATGGACACAGCAGCAGCCTGGGAGGTGTTATTTTGCCATCCCTGAGCGCCAAATATTGCAGGATCTGGCTGTGATGTTTTTCCAGGATGCCCTGGACTGTGAATCTCCTTGCTATCCCACCGCTCCCCGTGCCTCAGTGCAAGGAAGACATGCTTCTGCTGAACTGCATGTCAGTTCCCTGTCACCTCCAGCCTTTTAGCTCCCCACCCAAACTCCCCAGGGCTCTGCCAGTCCTTACTTTGCCTTGCAGGTTAACACTAGGCATGACTTCGTCCTCCAGCTCCTCTGACGTGTCCTTCTGCAGTGTCCAGCCCCTCTCCACTGGACACTCTGAAATTCCCAGGTAAGCCGGCCCCAAAGGGACAGTACCAGCTTGTTTGATTCAACTGAGGATCAGCCCCAATATAACATCACAGCACTGAGATATAGTTTTAGTGAAAACAAACAGGAGATTATTACCAAGCAATAAGACCAACTGGTTACACATCAAACACAAGCTATAACAGAAGCTTGACTTTAACAAGTAAAATCCACGGCTAAAGCATTCTCCCGTGGTCACTAGTCACCACCGCTGGGATCCCCCTTTTTATGAATGCAAAACGTGCTCTCCTGTTTGCTTCCTGAAGGCTTGCAGGGTGCAATTCTTGTCCCCCAGATATAGTCCAGTAAACTGCTGAAGTGTACCTCCCTCCCATTGATTCTTCTCCAGTGTGCTTTTTCTGTTGGTCCTATATGCAAACTGGGCTTCAGTTGTGTTCACCTACAAGTCATCATTTACATATGAATCGTGGGAGGCAGATGACTCGATATCCCTTTGTCTGGCAAAACTTGTTTGTCTACCCTGCTTTGATTCAGACTTTAAAACATATTTTCCAGTATATAAACATAGTTCCTTAAAGATCATCTGCTCACACTTCTTGTAATGATCATGAGGAACAGTGTGACATGAGCCTTTATTGGAGACCACCCATGACCCATTGTGGGTAAATACTATGAAAGCAGTGCATTAGGTGTAGTGAGTTTGTCAGGCCTGATAGGCGTTGCTGTCATAGAACGATGCTCCCTTTTCCAGTTGACATTGAGGAGCTCTTAGGGTCATGCCAGAGCTTCCAGTTCTTCAGGTTTTCAGACTCTTCTATGGGTCTGTGGGGAAAATTTGTCGTCTAAAAGGGAAGTCGCCTCTGGCTGGCATTTCCCATTTGCCTGCCTCCCATGGAAGGAGAGTCAAGCTGCCTGGGGAGGCATTTTTTTGAACCTAGGTAGAGCAGTTGTGGGTAGGAATGATAATAGTGTGTTTTGTCAAAGGGCTGTGAGATCTATTGATGAAAAGTGCTATCTGAGAGCCAGGCAATGTTCAGATTTATTTTTGACCTAGCTCAGTTCAGTCTCCCAGATCCTAATGGAGGAGGCAGCAGCTCGTGACCCAGGATGAACAAAGGGAGAGTTGGAGCATGGCCTCCTCTCTCTGAGCAGGGCCCAGACCCCTCTGGACACTACAGCTACTGAATCAACTCCCTCCACTCCCCACCCCTCCAGACCCCTATCCTGGAGGGATCAAGGGAAGTCCAGGCTAGATTAAGGCATAGGCAACCTAGGAATTGAGTCTGGGGCTCCATTCATGGGGTGGGGGTGGAGAGGGCCCTCAGGAGTCTGCCCCACAACAGGGGTAAGAAGGAGCTGTGTTCGCTACCCACTCGGGTTTGGTTTAGGCTCACCCCCATTTCAGGCAGGGGGTGGGAGGAACACGGCTGAGAGAGTGATGTTGAGAGCTGGTCAGTGCGATGGCTGAAATTGACTGAATGATGCTATAACCTCACAATGCCACTCACTCAATTTTGGACCCAGTGCCCCTCTCCCATTATGATGCGTGTTATGTTGTCAGACATTTGGCTGCGTGTGTGTGTTCTGTTAGTGTGCTGTCCCAGCTCTGCGCAGGTAGCTGGCACAGCAGACCTCGAGCGAACCGCCCAATGACCACAAAATCCGTTAAGGTACGAAGGCACCCAGCCAGGTTTATTATCGGCAAAGCACGGTCCTAGTATCCCTCAGATTCTACCGGACCACTAATGCATGTACACTCGTAACAACGAACCCAGCTCAGTCAGTTGGAGGGACTTTCCACTGCCCCCGAGGCTGGACAAAGACACTTCCTCTGAGATGCATTTTTATACACCAACACGAACAAGTTACGTATTGCTCCTGACGTTACCAGGGTGCCACCCTCTGACATATTAGGGTGCTACCCATTGCCTTGTACGTGTTGGTTCGATCAAAACATCCCTATTCATCATGCTGCCATCATGACTTTATCTTTAGGATGGGTCAGTATGTTCCTTCTATCTCTGGGGAATGTGCTGGTATTGAGGTGTTCTGGTACCACCTTTCTAGAATGTGTTTGCGTGCATGGCCTGTGCCTAGTACTTCTTAGGTATGTGTGTTTCTGTAATATCAGCCCTGTTCTTGCCAGATTCTGTGAGCAGAGCCTGCCTCTTCCTCACAACTTAACATTGTTTATATCAGCCAAGTTTCGACTACTTTAGCCCAGGCCTCAGGCCTCATACCAGGCCTCTGATACATGGGCTTATGTTTCAGGCCCTCTTCTTACTACATTCCCCCACTTTTTTGTTTTTTTATGGGGAGGATGTTTACCCATCATCCCAGAGAAACATAATGCATGGACTGAAGATGACCCAGTGGGCTAAACACTGTTATGTGGTCAACTTACTTTGTCATCCATACATTCATGCCCCATCTGTCCCTTGGTCTGCACATTCCTTCATATGACCGATGGACAGATTTTATTTTCCAATTGATTGTAGTCCCTTATAGTGGGCCTGGGAATGTTAGGCCCGGGACCATGACTGAGGAATGTAGTATTATGATTGAGCCTTAGAGGCACTCCCAAATAATTAATATATATGAATAATATGGATATGGCGTATATATTTGTAGCTTATATGGGTATATAGGTATGTGTACATATGACACCACCTTATATCCAAGCATAACCATGTTTTTCCAGTCTGCTGGTGTACTCTGGCCCTTTAACTTTGGTGACACAGATAGAAACACACTCCTATTAAAGCAATTGCAGTTATCACCTGTATCATCATTAGTAGTCAGCTGAGTGTTTTGAAATACTGGGCTAGGCATTGTTATAGGGTGTTCCACAGTGTTATGTATAGGAGAAGTAAAACATGAATTTGAAGTCGTGACACTACAAATGATGCCTTTATATATAAATGTCTTAGTTACTACACAGTACTGCCCATGTATAAGTTACTCTTACTGCTGGTGGTCACCCTCTGGTAAGCTTTGCTGGGCAGGGAACAAGAGCTGCTAGCTTCTCTGTTCCATGGATTGCATTGGTCTATGACACACCAGTGGTTGACATAGATCCAGGTAAAAGAAAAGGAGTACTTGTGGCACCTTAGAGACTAACCAATTTATTTGAGCATAAGCTTTCGTGAGCTACACGAAAGCTTATGCTCAAATAAATTGGTTAGTCTCTAAGGTGCCACAAGTACTCCTTTTCTTTCTGCGAATACAGACTAGACTAACATGGCTGCTACTCTGAAATAGATCCAGTTGTTTTTTATGGGTGCTGCCTTTCAGATAACCTACTGAATGGACAGTAACCAATGGATCAAGTATTGCTGTGTCAGGATGTAGTATTGATATCCAGACACGGAAGAAGATTGTTTTGAATAACATGCGCCTCTGTTAGGATGCAGTGTCACTGACCCAAATTATGACTGGTACGGACAGGCAATTTGTGTACCCAGTTTGTAGGTACTATAACTTTTCTGTTTGTTTGTTTAACGCTTTGTTCTTTCCTTGCCTTCATGTTGTTTGCAGCCATTCATTTGTTAATTTTTACCTGTGCGGTGGTTACACAGTTTCGCAATGTTATGTGCCTTGTCAATGATGTACAGCAATACAGTACTCATACGGTTGCTTTTACATAGTAGCCAAGTTTAACTTAACAGACAGTGGTTTTTAGCTGATTGCCAACTTAGTTGTCATAGAGTCATAGAACATCAGAGTTGGAAGGGACCTCAGGAGGTCATCTAGTCCAACCCCCTGCTCAAAGCAGAACCAATCCCCAATTTTTGCCCCAGATCCCAAATGGCCCCCTCAAGGATTGAACTCACAAACCTGGGTTTAGCAGGCCAATGCTCAAACCACTGAGCTATCCCTCCTCCATATAGCCATTGTCCATATATGGTAGACTGAGGTGTATTTGACCAGTCTCTTATTTATAAAGCACTTCATTTTTCATGATGCTTGCGGGTTCCTTCACTGTATACTGATATCTTCTGGTGTTTTTGTGGTACGATATCTTCTGGTCTCTTTGGTCTGTAGGATGCAACCTTAAACAGCTTACGTTAGTTAACATAATAAAGTTTTTTGTTTGGTTGTTTGACATTTCTCTTGTTTTTAGTAACCCAAGTTTAAAACACAGATTAATTTAGTGTGTTTACAATGTAATAGGGACCAAGTCTTTTATAACTCAAGCTATACTTTTGCAATTGTTGTGTAGACATTCACTTTCACTTGAGGTGCATTACTAATATTTTACACTAAGTGGAATGCTTAATGGCTAAACTAGATGCTCACAATCTTCCATGAGAAGGTGCATTGCTTTCCCTTGCTGAACACTTTTTGAGCAAAAGAGTTAGTAACTTAATTTTTACCAAAAGAAAGGGGGTTGTTGTGTCGCCCTTAGACTTTTTTTTTCTGGGTCCCCCCAACTCTTGACTTTTGTCAGACTAACACGGCTGTTCCTCTGAAACCTGTCATTAATTTTTACCAAGCTTTTTAGACGTAATTTGCTTGTGATGCCAATTTCACTTTTGTTAACTGCTTAGAAACACAAACGTTAGCAACCACTACTTCCCTTTAACATAAGTTAAAAGAGAATAAAAATTAAACCAAAATGAATTTTAA